GGAGACAAGCTTTCAAGAGGGAAGAGAGGAGAGAAGAGATGGAAGGAGGGAAGAGAGGAGAGAGGAAGAGAGAGAGAGAGAGAGAGGAGAGACGGAGGGGGATAGTGTGGGGGCATTACTCCACTGCAAACTAACATGAGCGTTCAACAGGAAAGAGGAGAGGACAGAAGGAGGAGAGAGGAAGAAGAGAGGGAGGGAGGAGAGAGGAGAGGAGGAAGGAGTGAGCGACAGAGTAGAGGGAGATATGGAAGATGAGGAGAAGAGAGGAGAGGAGAATTACTAGGCAAAGAACTGACACGAGCTTTTAAGAGAAGAGAGAGAAAGAGAGAGGAGAGAGAGAGAGAGAGTGACACAGCAAACTGACTCAAGGAAAGAGAGAGAGAGAGAGAGAGTGAGAGGAGAAAGAGAAGAGGAAGAGGAGAGGACAGCGGGCGGCTTTACCGACACGAGCAAACTGACGCGAGCTTTCAGGAGGAGAGCGAGTGACGAAGACGGACGGATGGAGAGAGACGGAGAGGCGTAAGAGAGAAGACGGAGAGATAGGAGGAGAGAGAGAGAGAGGAAGATAAGACGGAGGTAGAGGAGTGACAGGTGAAGAGGACGAAGACGAAGAGGCAGAAAGGAAAATGGAAGGGTTAAGAGAGCGGAGAGAAAGAGAGGAGAAGAGATACAAAAGAGGAAGAGGGGGAGGAAAAGAAGGAGAGAGAAGCTAAAAGAGAGGGAGAGTGAAGGCTACTACAGTAAATAAACGTAATATTTCGAACTAGAGAGGACTTTAAGAGGACTTTATTTTTACTCTGAGCCTCTAAACTAGGCAGAAGTAAATAATAAAACTCCAAATACTTCCAAAACACGTACTTTTACTTCTTTGGTACTCGTAATACTCTCAGTGTGCATGAGCGTTGGTCAGGTACGTGTTGGTCGCGGTGGCTGTAGTGAGTCTCGTGTTGTGTTTTGGCACGTTTCTAAAGACAGACGGCCTCGCTGTGACGCTCCGGCCTCACACGGAGAGCGGAGTGGGCAATATGGACGCAGTGTCTTGCTCAAAGGCAGAGCAGCAGAATGCAGCCGGGCTCGGAGGAAATACTCACGGTTCTTGTTCGATTAACACCGATAATTGATGTTGTGGTATTCAGACTTTGCGTACACGTTTCTCTCTCTCTCTCTCTCTCTCTGTCTCTCTCTCTTCTCTCTCTCTGTCTCTCTGTCTCTCTCTCTCTGTCTCTCTCTCTCTTCTCTCTCTCTGTCTCTCTCTGTCTCTCTCTCTCTCTCTGCTTTTCTCTCTCTGTGTCTCTCTCTCTCTCTGTCTCTCTCTCTCTCTTCTCTCTCTCTCTCTCTCTCTCTCTCTCTGTCTCTTCTCTCTCTCTCTCTCTTTTTTCTCTCTGTCTCTCTCTGTCTCTCTTTCTCTCTTCTGTCTCTCTCTCTCTCTTTCTCTTCTCTCTCTCTCTCTCTCTCTCTCTCTCTCTCTCTCTGTCTCTCTCTCTCTCTCTGTCTCTCTCTCTCTCTGTCATCTCTCTCCTCTCTTCTCTCTCTTTCTCCTCTCTCTGTCTCTTCTCTTTCTGTCTCTCCTCTCTCTCTTGCTCGCTCTCTCTCTCTCTTCCTCTCTTCTCTCTCTCTCTTCTCTCTCGCTCTCTTTCTCTCTCTCCTCTTTCTCTCTTTCTCTCTCTCTCTCTCTCTCTCTCTCTGTCCTCTCTCTGTCTCTTTATCTCTCTCTCTCTCTCTCTCTCTCTCTCTCTTCTCTCTGTCTCTCTTGTCTCTCTCTGTCTCTGCTCTCTTTTCTATCTTCTCTCTCTCTCTCTCTGTGTCTCTCTGTCTCTCTCCTGTTCTCTCTCTCTGTTCTCTCTTCTCTCTTGTCTCTTTATCTCTCGTCTCTCTCTGGCTGTCTTTCTCTCTGTCTCTCTTCTCTGTCTCTCTCTCTCGTCTCTCTTCTCTCTCTTCTTCTCTCTGTCTCTTTATCTCTCTTCTCTTTGTCTGTCTCTCTCTCTCTCTCTCTCTCTTCTTCTCTCGTCTTCTGCTGTTCTCTCCTGGCTCTTTCTCGTCTGTGTGTAAATACTGTCTCTCTGTCTTCTTTATTTGCTCTCTCTCACTCCTGTCTCTTCTATCTCTGTCTCTCTCTTCTCTGTTTGTCATCCTTTGTCTCTCCTCTCTCCTGGCTCAAAATTCTCACTCTCTTCTTTCATATCTTGTCTCAGTTACTCTCTTCTTCTCTCTCTGTCTGTGGCTATCTAAGCTCTGTGATCGTGTCTTATATCAAAAAAGTGATAACCGCTTTAGAAAATGTCATGAGAAACACCTGTTTGGGAGCTATATTCTTGTTCCGGTTTTGTCCTTTCTCTCTCTCTGTGTCTCTCTCTCCCTCTGTCTGTCTCTCTCTCTCTCTCTCTCTGTCTCTATATCTCTCTCTGGCTGTCTTTCTCTCTCTGTGTCTATCTCTGTCTCTTTCTCTCTCTCTCTGTCTGTCTGTTTTTCTCTGTCTCTCCATCTCTCTCCAAATGAATAACTGTTGCTCTTTTTTCATGGGATTCACATGAGAAACAGAACATTTTGTGGAGGACTGGGCCAATTCTACATAATATCATACAGTATATTGTATTTCTTTATAAAAAGCAGTAAATAACATTGTTTTGACGAGCGAGTGAGAGTTTATGTTATGAAAAAGTGAGACCGCCCTACAAAAAATGTCATTAAAAAAACACCTCTAAAATAAAAGTAATGCAGCTTGAGTCCGTGCATGAGGTAAAATTATAAAACATGTTTATTTTATAATTCTTGGGAGTTGTACAATGCCCACGTCTGGCCTAATGTAAATAGTTTCTTTAAGCCCAAGCTCTGCAGATGGAAAGGAGCTTGTAGCTAAATCGGGCGCTGAGATTCTCTGAGATTAATGTTTTCTGCGCACTGTCCTTGTTTTAAATAAAACAGATTAATGCCCGACGCCCCTGTAGGCACACCGCCTTTTTAACTGACTAATCAAACTGTAGGACATGTCTTTACTCCACCAAGAGATAGTTTAGTCGATAACAGCCCTAGATATTAGTTCCTGGCGGTCGTATGCCAATAGTCGTTCCACTCACTGAGCAGGATGCAGACGCAGAGGAGGATGGCGACCAGGGCCCCGGTGGTGAGTCCGTCGGAGAAGGGCAGGACCTCGGGGCTGCAGGTCTGCATGTTCCCGCGGCTGTCGCACGCGCACACTCGGATCACCAGCGTGCTCGTGCTGCTCTGGATGGGGTAGTCGTTGTCCGAGATGACGATGGGTAAAAAGTAGACGCTCATCTCACCGGCGACTGAAGCCCCCCCTCCGAGTCAGGATGTTGGCCGTGTTATCTGAGAGAGGAAGTGAGAAATTAGATTCACAGCGATGCCAACTTTGTTACTAGAGATTACACCACCTGCTTATTTCCACACATAATATAGCTTTAAACAGAATAGAATGTTCCACAGTATAGGATTAAGATGTGATTCAGTTCAAGATTACACAAACTTGTAAACAAAAGTGCAACGAAAAGTAGAAACAAATTTGCATATTACAGAAATGTACTAGAATATACAGTAGAGGTGTAACTGTACATGTACACAATTTTATTATTTGTTTTTAAAGCTTTAAATGGACTGGCCCCACAATACGTCTAAGACCTCATCTAGATTTACTCCCCTGCACATGCTCTCTGAGGTCCGAGGTCCAGCTCCAGCTCATGGGGCCTAAAACAAGACTTAAAACCAGTGGGACCGGACCTTCTCTGTTACTCTGTGAGAGTTTTAAGTCTCGTCTGACTCACTTTTATTCTCTGGCTTTTTAACACCGCATGAGTTGTATGGTCCTCTGTGTATTTCTTTCTTTCTTTATTTATTTTTTTAAATTAATAAATTAATTTGATTTAATTGTTCATTTTTTTTTTTTATAATTTTTTTTTTTTTTTTTTTTTTTTTTTTTTTATAAATTTTTTTATGTTATTATATAGATATTTTTTATTTTATTTTACTTTTTTTTTTTTCACACTGCTTTTGGATGTTGTTATTTTATTTATTGATTCTATTAGTTTCATCATGGTTGAAACATAATTCTGCTGATTTAATTTTTAAGTAAAATGGTTTACATTGCTGAGTAAAGCACTTTGGAAACTGTCTTGTTTATAAAACGTGCTAGACAAAGTTGGATTTAATTGGATTGGACGAGCGAGTTTGTGCATTTTGAGTTTGTTTACATTCCACCACTACATGTGCAGCTACACAGAAGACTTGGCTCCTTAATATTCACGAAGGAACTCGTCCGTGATTGGGGTGGCAGTGTTTCTCGCAGCGCTTTATAGTTAAGGCAGCCACCTTGACAACAATTGCCCCCCACCTTGACTACGTCCCTCCGAACCGCGTGAATTCTCACAAAACTACAGTCATTGCGCCCCGGGTCTCATTTTTGTCTTTCACTGGCACATAATTAGTGTTACCAAGCAGCACTTTGCATTTATTTTATTTTTATTAGTTTGTATAATGTTAAAACAAACTGTTGGTTTAATAAAAAACACAAATAAACAACAAGGAAATGGTTTTGCATTTTGTTCTCATACTGTACAGAAAATGAACCGTGCCCTTTAAAACCGACCCGTGATTTTTGTGTACAGTTACATCCCCAACCGTACAGTATGTAACTGTGATTTTCCATGTTCCCCTATAGTGCATTCTTAAAAAAGTGATAAGTACAGTTTCTCAAAAAAACAAAAAAAACCAAACAAACAGTTAGTGAGTGTGGAACATTCAAACAAAAAAACAAAACCAAAAGCAAAAAATACAACATTTCCATGAACCTCATCAGGCGGTCTACTTCCCACCAGGAAAGTTATGCAGTGCGCCTTTGAATTAGCACAGAAAGTGAATATTTATAAAGATTTGAACAGAAAAATTGTGCAAAAAAAGTTGTTTTTGTGATGACTTCTAATCAAATTTGAAATGACCCTCATAACCGAATCACTTCATTACTGACTTTTTATGTAAATATTGAAATTTGAAATTCTTTTACCAACATATTTTGCTTTCACACAAAATGAGACCAAATTCTTTTGAATCCGCGCTCTCTGAAAAGGAAATCTCGGCAGCAGTTATAGACTTTACTCTACTTATGTCACAAACCAGGGAGACATTTGGAAACATGCGAAAACAATTGTGCTAAAATGAAGACTGCGTACGTATGTGCTGTTTGGAATCATCTTCAATTTGAAAGAGAAGAAGAAACCGCATGTACCCAGTGCACTCGGAGTTGTGAGTCAGCGGGGAAATGATAAAAACTGAGGTATGGTTGAAATTGTTGATTTGCCCAACATAACTGAACGCTACAGTGACATGGAGATGAAGAAAACTGAACCATTTTCTAATTTTACCTAGATTTTCTCAGACTTACTACCACGAACAGAGCCCGCTAGAAGTTCTCATCGCATCTTTCCAAACGTCTTCTTGGTTTGTGACGTAAGCGTGAAGAGAGCCCATTCCTTTTATATTTTATTGAGCTATTCCGTGACTCATAGAACCAAGGTTACAACGTGACTGAACCTTATATAACTGCACACGGGTCTTACCTTCTTTATCGTCAATGGTGAAGTTCGGGTTGGTGGGACTTATACTGAAGACGAACTTATGTCCAACCAGAGGCTCGTCTGTGTCCACCGCGCTGATGGTCTGAATCAGCTGAAAGAGAAAACGTGGAATTATAAATACATTTTTTCATCCATCCATCCATCCATCTATTTTCTTCCACTTATAAAGGGTCGGGTCATGTTTTATTTTATTTTAAAGCTGCACGGTGTAACCTTTTTCAGTGCGAGACTGTGCTACCAGTGTCTCTTTATTGATTTGCCTGAAATGTTCCACAGTATAGCATTAAATGTGGTTGTGGTTGTAGTTATTCAAGTACAGATGTTGATCAAAAAAATAAATACATACAAAATAAATAAATACAAAAATAAATAAAACTTGAACATGCATTCTTATTGTGAACGGTATGGTCTCTCCACCGATCTGACCTGTAACTTGCCCTAATGCATTGTTTCCCAAAGACTGTGTCGTGACTTTTTGGTGGGTCGCAAGAGATTTTTTTTTTGGGTCGCCTTGTCATGATCTGCATGTAGGTCTAAAATATACATATACATAGATCCAGAGGTGGTGCTACCATTAGGCAAAAGTAGGTGGCTTCTTAGGGCCCCCAAACCTGGAGGGGCCCCCAAACAATTTCCCTCAGTGCCACTAATGACCGAGGCCTCAGAGCAATTTGATTTTCTCTCAATATGACATTAAATGAGAGTAGTTTACGTTTAACCAATAATCATAAGGGGGAAAAAAAGAAGAAAAAACTACTTTCAATTCTGATTATCTAGTAGGCAATCCAATCCAACATAATAAAATAAATAGAGATGTACATGTTTCAAGTACAATGGGAAAAAAAACAATAAATATGTATTAAAAAAAAAAATAAAAAATGGTGCATTATAGTGAGGGCCCCAAACACAAGTTCGCCTAGGGCCCCCAAATTGCTAACTCCACCTTTGCATACATCTCTGTGCACTCCCGCACCTCACTTTTTCAGCAGAACCTCCTTGCCTAAACTATTTTCTGTGGGAAACATTAATTACTGTTTTTACTTGTTTAAAACTTTGAGTACCAGATTTTTCGGACTATAAGGCACACTTCCCTGCAATCCCTGCAAAATTGACAGCGCATCTTACAATCCGGTACGCCTTATGTATTAATTCTGGTTGTTCTTACTGACCTCAAACTGATTTTCACACTTATTCCACTGAATCGTGTCCTTTAGTCCGACAGAAGCTGAACCACATCAGCAGCACAAGAAATAAACTGTTTTGTCAGTGCTTATAGTTTATGCAAATGAGTCATGTGGTTTTAAGTTTTGTTTCTGTAAAACGTAAACAAATGTGCTCATAGCTGCATTAAACCCATTATTACTCAATGTATATTTGCGTCATCCTTGTGGGAAATAAAAAAGTTTCAAGTCTAGTTCAAGTGTCATCCATTTGTTTAATGTGTCTTATGTATGTATGTAAAAAAGACGAGAAAATTCAATGTTACTGATATTGCGCCTTTAATTAAAAAAAATACGAAAATACTAATTGTTCAGAGAGACACGATCACTAAGTCAAAAATAAAATATCCTTATTAATGTTCAACAATTATCACAAATGTATTTTGTGATTTACGAATAATGTCTATGGACATGGGTGGCGAAGAATTGTGACTTTTAAAATATGTATCCCCAGAAAAAAAAATTGGGAAACACTGCCCTAATGATCTCACCTGCTTGTCATTATACCGTGGAATAAACTATCTAAAAAAAGTTCCACAGTGCATCTTTAAATAGATTTTTAAGTCTCCTTACCTGTCCAGCTTTGACGTTCTCGCACACAAACGTATCGTAGGACATGGCGAACTCTGGGGCATTGTCATTCACGTCTAAAACCTTTATGAAAACTGGAACTCGGGTCGTCTGTCTCGGATTATCTGGAAGAAAAAAATAACAAATATTAAAAAATAGAAAAACAAAGAAAACAAACTCATTACGCCAAACCATTTCAAACTTACTACACTGGGATTTTTGAGGGCATGAATCATCTTATTACTAAACATGCGAGGCACCGTTTTCAAAAAGTAATTTCCAAATTGAAAATCCACAAATGTTGAACCTGATTTACTTCCATGAAATTGAAATCTTGTTACACATGTTCTTTCTATGACAACAGTAATAATAGCACGACTAACACACCGGGAATTTTGCCTTGTTTCAGTCACACGAGTTTGAGTTTACAAGATTTTGATTCTTTCAGCTCTCACATTTTTTCGGCGAACGTGTAATTTAACTTCGAACAGAGCAGATATTGTTTTAGCCCCATTTATACTGCCTCACATGTCATCATTAAGGAACACAGCATAAAACAGAACACAAAAGTGACCTGCTCTAAATATGACTATTACAAACATGTATTTCCCTTTTGTTTATTTACAGCAGGGGTGTTCACACTTTTTCAGCATGTGAGCTACTTACAAACTGACCAAGTCATAATGATCTACCTAATACAAAGCCAAGCAAACTGCACTGAAACACTCTGTGCCCCTTTTTTGGATCCTCACCCACAGTTTGAGAACCCCTTCTTTAAGAGAACTTCCTCTGGCACTTTACACAAAACTGTGAAAAAAGTGAAGGAAGATTTTTAAACCTGTTTTTTTTTTTTTTATTCCAAACTGGAGTTGCATTCTTTTGTGGTTTTGCAGTGATATTTACCAGCCTCTGCACGTTTACCAAACCAAACGCACATCGTGACAAACACAGATGCATTTGTGCACTTTTGTGAGGCAAACTTCAGCCAAATGTGGCAGTAGGTCTGTTCTGTAGATCCGCTCTATGCTGTAGACCTGCTTTGTGCCAACACTGGAACACAAATTTAGACTCATTTTTGCCTCACGTTTGGTCTTGCTCTTCTAATCAGCGCGAACTGTAGGAGGGGCTTGTGTTGGCTGTACGCAGGAAGGAGCGAGAGCGTGAAAAGGCGAGGGGCGGCGTGCTGACGTGAGGCAGATGGACAGGTAGGATGTTTAGGAAGTTGAACCTGCCCTGTGATGCACGCTGGTACACGAGGGCACACGCTGTCGCGGACGAGCCGTGCATAGGGAGCGTGTGTGTTTGTGATGCGCCGTAGAGTCTCCGCGGGTTTCAAATGAGCGCACAGGCCGAACTGAGACGCCCCACACGCTCCTGCACCCGCTACAAGTTTATTACCAACAGCAGCGGCCGTAATGAAATATGATCGCACTTGTTGAGTGTCAGACCTCGAGTGAGAGACAAGACCGAGTCTAAACGCGAGTCCAAGACGAGACACGGCGATCTACCCACACGACCTTGGCGATCGACTGGTAGATCGCGATCGACGTATTGAGCACCCCTGATTTACAGTGATAGAGAAGACACTGAACTTTGTGCCAGTTTTTGTTTCACGTGGATAGTCCCAGTAATTACCAAGATATTAACTATAAACAGGGTCAACAAATCTTGAAATGACTTGAAGCTCAAAGCAGACGACTTGGGACTTGACTCGGACTTAAGGTCAAAAACTTGAAACTTACTTGAGACTCGTGAAAGAACGATTTGATCCCACCTCTGATCTGAGGTTTGTTGGACTTTAATCTGAGTTTAATTTTAACACAATCTGATCTGCAAGGAAGTTTAGTTGGAACTACAGGAGGTGTCCTGATTTTTGCAGTTAAAAAAAGACCCCTCAAATGACTTTGCAATCAAATGCTAATTTAGTTACTCTTACATTTTTTGTTGAAAATCAAACTCCTAAACATTGTATTGATCTAAACTCCTGAAGTTGTGTAAATCCATTTTTTGTTACCTCTTTTTTTTATTCTTTTATTCATAGTCTCTGTGATATAACAGTCTTCAACAACCAGACAGACATCAACACAACAAATTAAATAATAAACAATAATAATATTTAACAAAAAATACCAAAGAAAGAGCCATACTGAAAAAAACTAAACAAAAAAAAACAAAAAAACAGGACCAAAAGGTAAAGAGGACCAACCTTACCAAACCAACATTTTTCAGAGCTTTCAGACTGTTGAAATTTTTTTTGACACTATTTGCTCATATGTGCATTGCATCACTATGGCAACATATGGTGGAATGTGACAAACATTCCACCATAGAGATACATGTAGAACATCCCCAGTGCAATGTGACTGCAATGTATAGATAAGGATTCTACAATGTCGTGACGTTAGTGTTAAGGGAACCCAACTTGTAAAACCGTTTTGAACATTTTAACATCGTTTGAGAGGAGTACAGAGTGTTTTCATGGACTCACTGATTTCGGTGGCCACCACGGAGATGTTGTGCCACTTGGACATCTCTCGGTCCAGGTTCTTCAGCGTGATGATGGTTCCGTTTGACGAGTCGATGTTGAACAGTCTCTCCAGGTCTGTGTGTCGGTCTATGGAGTATCTGAGGAGAAGAGCACAGTTCAGTTTTACTTCATTTATAGTTGAATCACATTGTACCAAAAGCTCAAATTCCCCAGTAACACATTCAAAACAACCACATAATAAACAATGGACATAACTTCCATTTGGTCTCATTAAACATTCTGAGGAAGCACTGGCAGTGACATGACTACTTCACACTATCTGTCCACTAATAATACCAAATACTAAGGGTGTAACGGCACATGTATTTGTGTCGAACCTTTAATATTCATGAGGGGACTCGTCCGTGATTGGGGTCAGTGTTTCTCGCAGTGCTTTATAGTTAGAGCGGCCACCTCGACAACAATTGCCCCCCTGCTTTGACTACGTCCCTCCACCTATTGAAATTGTAACTGCAGCAGATTTGCACTTACTGCAGACAATGTGGACAACTCGAGTAAAACTTCATGCTGGAACTGTGAGTACTGCACTTTAGTTTCTGAAAAGTTTTGTTTACTGTTTACAAGGAATACATTTTTTTTATAATATTTCATACATTTGTTGCTTATTTGAGAATATTTTATTTAACTTATTAGTATTACTAAGCAACACTTTGCATTTATTTTATCGTTTGTATAATGTAAAACAAATTGTTGGTTTTATAGACATACAAAAGGTTTTGCATTTTGTTCTCATACTGTGCCAAAAATGAACCGAACCGTGACCTTAAAACCAAGGTACGTACTGAACTGTGATTTTTGTAAAGTTACACCCCTATCAAATATTACACTAGAAATATGTTCCAGTCTGATGCAGAGTAATAACAAAAAGTACCATATTTTCCGCACAATAAGGCGCTCTGGATTATAAGGCTCACTGTCATTAAATGGTCTATTTCCGAACCTTTTTTCACAAATAAACTGCACCGGACTTTAAAGGAAACACAACAGTTGGATGGGTGAGTGGGACTTTGTTCACGGTGACTCTGGGCTTTGTTCAGTTGTGGCGTGTAGGGAGGGTGCTGTCTGGAACCGCTGGATTTTCGGCGTGTTCGCGGTGACTCAGTTGTTCAGTTGTGCCTAGAAGTGGCACATTGCGCTCGCTTTTTCGGTTTGTTCCTCCGTTCTGTTCCTCGTCGGCGTGGAGCGATGATTGTGTCTGTGGGTGTTTATCGCCGTGCGGTCGCCGTCTGCTCCGTGTGTGTTTGCGTGCGCTGCGGGTGGTGTGGCTTTGTAGTTTACTGAAGTCGTGCTGGGACACCCGAGTGAATTCGTGTATAGGGCGCTCCGGTTTGTGGGACGCGCAGCCGTTTTTTTGATGGGGTTGGAGGCTTATGAGCACATCCTATAGTGTGGAAAATACGGTAACAGACAATAGTAGGATGAAAACGATTATTTGTTTAATCGATAATTCCAATTATAAGTGTCACTGTCGTAGAAAAAATAGTGGTAATGCGTAAGAAGAGACATGAGACTAGAGTTGTAACTACAAATCCAATTACCTTAAACCTTAAAATTTTAGTCCAGTCCAGTTTGATCACAGTCACAGTCCAACCTTGCCTCGATTCGGTTGTAGGGAGTATTATACCTCTGATATATGCCAAGATAACAACGACTGAGCTGGCAGAAACGCATCTATCATTCACAGAGTCGCATTTAAATTTAGAAATAAAAAGTAATCAAGTTAAATTAAGAAGCTACTTGAAGCACTTTTGGACGCGCAATTTACGCAACTGTGAATGAACGTTATTACATTTGATCAACATTAAGCTGTAATTTAAATCTCCGACACGACTCTTTGGTTACATCAGCCGCTCTGACTAATTATTAAGTTATTTTCAGATTTTATGAAGTTATGTTGTCTCTCTCTATCTCTTCTTTACCTTTTTATAACTCTTAATTCCGCTTATCCCTTATAAAGTGTTATGACGTCATCTAAAAACCCGACGGCAACAACTATTAAAAATAAAAGTTTGCCTTGTCCGCCCCTGTTCAAGCCGTCGAGTATGACAAAAATAATTAAAGCCGTGTAAATCCAAACTGCACTTTCACCACATTTTGAACCAGAAGTTTGAAAAATGCAGCGTACAACAAATTAAGTAGACTCCCAAATTAGCCGGTCTGACCCTGCCATTTCCAGCTTAAAGGGTCCTGTCGTAATCCCACTGAGACAGAACCTCTGAGTCAGTACTGCACATTTTGGACCGGCTTCATAATTGACTAAATCCCAAAGCAACTAATGTTTACCACTGAAAAATACATGTTTACAGTGCCGGGCTTCTCCTTTGACAGTTTAATGGGCGTTTTCGGTTTAATTAATTTCTCGTTGCTACAAATTATGCGTAAATATTGTGAAATCTTGATGGACAAGTGGATGGAGCGACATGTGTTTTTGCCTGTTGCCAGAAGCGTTGAGATTTAAAGGAGCTGTACCTGATTTTTACTTCCTTAAAATGTGAAAACTGAACTGAGCCGGACAACAGCGAGAAGGATAACCGTGCGCTTCCTGATTACTGGAAAATAAACGCTGCTATACATTTATTTCTTTTTTTCATATATATGTAGTAGACTTATTTTGACCTCAAGAGCTGCTGATACATAATATTGGTATAGACCAGACATGTCAAACTCAGGCCCGGGGACCAAATTTGGCCCACGATATAATTATATTTGGCCCACGAGATCAAATATGTATAAGGCTGCGTTCAGACTGCAGCCTGAAGTGACCCAAATCTGATTTTTTGGCTTCTATGTGACCTGTATCCGATCTTTTAATGATCAGATCCGATTTTTTCTAATGCGACCCAGGACACTTGGATATGTGCTCCTGAAACCGATACATATCTGATCTTTTGACATGTGACTTCCGTGTGAACGGCCAAAGTGCATTTATCCCACCTACACGTTATCAACAAGACACAAACGTCACTATTCTGCGCTGAAGTCGGCGAAAATTGTTAATGAACTCCGTGTCACTGAAGCGAAGCACATCACCACTCACCACTCTCGGCTACGTCTCCGCATCCACATGTTCCTTTCAACGGACTGTCCCACAAAACGCCACGACCAAAAACCTCGTCCTTCTCAATCTCCTCCTTACAACAAGTAAGTTGTTCATGTTCTGGCGAGAGGAACTTTAAAATCTCCAGGTGCTCGCGTCCATGTTTGGACAACTTCCGTAAACACAGAGCACGCTCGCTGCGGTTGACGTCGTCGTGTCTCCAGTGCACATGCGGGACACTTTCGGGACGTTTACTCTTCACAGTGGAGATCACATACAGGTCACATTTAATTGGAAATGTGAACAACCTCACAAAAACATCAGATTTCACAAAAAAATCAGAATTGAGCATTAAGCCCTGCAGTCTGAACGTAGCCTTAGAGCTGCCTGCTGGCTACAGATAGACTATAGAGACATTATTTATTTAAAATGTTGTTATTATTTTATATTTTCCTTATTCTGGATTCAGCGTTTAAGCAAAACTATAATTAAGCATTTATTTTAATAAGAAAAGGTTTAACATTACATATCTCCAAAGAAGAGAAAACATGCAGACGTTGTTGAAATGTTTCAATAAATATTTAGTTTGGCCCACGACTTAATCCTAGTTTTTAATTTTGGCCTCTGTGAATTTGAGTTTGACACCCGTGGTATAGACAAACAACTAGCATGCTAACAGTCCAATTCATTATTCTCGGTTTTTAAGTTGTTGGGTTTTTTTTTTTTTTTTTTTTCTTTTTAAAGAAAATTAGTCATTTTGTTTGTTTTTGAGATCTCGTTTATCATGTGAATAAATATCGTGAAAAATATTGAGCTCAAAATTGACCTTTGACCTTTATTTGTCAGTTCCTGTTCTCTGCTTTTGCATCATGAGTCAAAAATAAGTTTTCGTGCAAAAGCAAAAGGCAGAAACAGTGTGTGTTTTGTTTGTGATTTAGTTCATTATTGTATTTTAAAATCCAACCTCTCGCCTTTTTCTTTTTGTTGCGACCTTTGCACAGAGTCTTAACACATTCAATAAATAAACCTTTGTATTCAAATATACTTAAATTATCTTTAACATGAAAGTATTTGGTGTATTTATTCATACTGTACACACTATACTGCAGAGTCACTTGTGTCAAACTGTTTAACTGTGTAAGTGTCGCTGCACGATCCTGATCAGCACTAAACAGGAAATCCAAAGCTCTTCTGTATCATTTCAAACAACATAATCAAATCAAGCAAATAATAATGATCATGTCAGTTTCTGCTTTTTGTCTTTGCACGACTCCTTATTTTTGTCTCATGATACAAAATCAGAGAACGGGAACTGAAAAATAAGAGTCAAAGGGCAATTTTGAGTTCAAGATTTTTCGCATACAAATATTTCTTCATTAGAGCAACTAACTGTCAAATTTTGGGAGCCTGACCTGTTATACTTTTGTCTGGACAAAACAGAAACTTTAAAGTCATTTTTTTCAGTTTCACACTCTGGAGAGTTAATGATTATTTTTTTTTTTTTTTTTGTAGGGGAGAACAGTTCTACACACTTATTTCTTTCTTTTTTCTTTTATAAAAAAAAAATATAAAAAAAAAAAAAAAAAATAATATATATATATATATATATATATATATATATATATATATATATACACTCAACTAGCATGTTAACAGTGCACGTCCTGATTCTTTGACAATAAACACCTTTATTTATTTTTAACTCGCAGACTTATTTTGACCTTAAGACCTGCTTAAACAACAGCAAGAGCAACAGCAACAACAACTCTGTAGAGAATAAACAACTAGCATGTTAACAGTGCACATCCTGATTCTTTGACCATGAACACCTTTATTTGTTTTTATGTAGCAGTCTTATTTTGACCTTAAGAGCTGCTTAAGCAACCGCAACGACAACAGCAGGAACATATCTGTACTAATAAACAACTAGCATGTTAACAGTGCACTTCCTGATTTTCACACACTAAACATATTTCACATCAGGCAATTAACATGTTTCTTTTCTTATATAGTGGATTTAGTTTTGACGTTAGGAGTTGC